CAGCTGGGTAAGTGCTCCTTGGCTCTGGTGGCCAAATGCCTTTGCGTTCGCCCTAGGTACTTGCATCCGCAAATGTATGTAAATTCATAAACACAGTTTGAAGTGGCGTGCAACGGCAAGACATCCTTCGCAAGAGGAATTGGTAAGGGCCCGGTTGAATTGCAAATTACAAGTTCAGCAGCATAATATGTCCTTTCAATGGCATTAAATAGCCGTCTCTTGATGGTATTAAAAATTCTGTCGCCCTTAAAGGGCAAAGTTAGGAAAACGGACTTTTTCGGAACTTTGTATTTTGTATTTTCTCTTAAGTTATTCGCGTTATGCAAAGAGGGGCACTCTTGAAATTAATGGATTCAATAAATTTCGCTGATTACACCATCTTCAAAATCTCCAGATGCCCGAAGGTGGACGCGGATGCAGTTACTGGCACTGCCAACCAGCCGCTCTAGGAGCGTCACAGCCGAACTGACCCTTTCAACATGCACTAGGTTGCCGTAAGGACAACACGGAGCTCACATGCGGGAGAGGGCCATAAATACCACCTAAAGGAAGATAGCTGTTGCGGCCCGACGCCCGATCCCAAATCCCTCCCCCCTGAGGACCGAGTTACTCTGTCAGTTTAAAACCTGCGAAAACGCAATCCTCATTGCGTTCGGCTAAATTCAAGCACGCCAGCCGCATTATAGTGAGAAATGTACTGATTCATCGTGTGGATAGATTCCTTAGTGTTCGTCTCACTGTCTCCTCCCTCTCCCTTACATCCCTTCGATTATTCGAGCTTCCCTGCCAACTAGTAACGAGATTGAATGTGGTGGCTGACAGAACGAGACTGCCTGTGTACGTGCCAAAAGCAGACGTATCTCGAATATTTTATGGGATGTAAGTGCACTTGGGAAAGCTAGATGGCAAGCAACAAAACCTTGCCAATTTTCTGAATCGGTTTTGATAGTGCAATTCGTATTCGTACTAACTGGTCGAAATATTCTGCTGTGGGGAGCTGCTCGACTCTATTTTTACAACTTTTTTTTAGAAAGAAACGTAAATTCAATAAGTTGGCACCTTAATTTAAATATCAATGTTCGTTGAACCATGATTGGATAATCTGGCTTTAGCAACCTACCTCTTATATGACAAAATTACGGGGTTTGCCAAAGCGGAAAGAGGATAATGGAATGGGACAAAAACATCGGGAACAGTCACCCCCACGTCAGTTCGAGTACTTCAAGCATTTAACTTCGTTATGTCAGTAAATAGACAGGTTTATTGGTTATGTCCAAGTATCGGTTCCTGGAAAATTTGGGGGACACCTGGAACGCATCTCAGTGCTGACATGAGAAGAAACTTATTTTAACTAAAAAAACAGAAAGTTGCTATCAAACGCCTCAACGGAGATCATTGACCGAATAACTGATTATTTTCAAAAGAGCAGTCATAGTTATACAGTACTAATGCAGTGGCAGTAAACCTTTGACTAAAAGGCCATATCAGTTATTTATAATAGACGTCTCAGCGTTCTTCCTTTTAAGAGGGCCATCGCATAATAAGAAGGCAAGGATTCCACTCGTCAGTGCGACTTCGGGACACCTCATATTTTTTCGAGTCGCGTGACAACCAATAGTACCATCCAAAAATGCTTAGTTAATGCCTTAAGACTGGATGACAAAACGTGGCTTTTCTAATAAAGGCGTAAAATTTGACGATGCAAATTCGGTGCGTTTTCTAATCATCTGAATACTAACGTTGCTGGTATGGAGAGTGTAAATGAATATCGGGGGCCCATTCAGAAGCGTTTAAAGGACATGCTTGCATTCAACGAAAGTATTTGCTTGTGTTACTTAAACAACATTGACAAGCAAGTCAAAATGATGCCTTCAAATAGAACTTTGACAATAACATAAAACATAACCAAATATCACTTTTGTTTCCTTTGCTAGATAACGTGTAAAGTATGGAATTCTATTAGGCCGATAAGATAAGAACAATATTATACAATAATCCTTTTTTGTTACTAGTTTACTTAGGCGTAAAATTTTGCAAATTTACACTTATCAGGTATTATTTGCGCATCCACGGTATCCAAGACTGCTTTGGATTATCCCCTCCTTGGTATTCGTATAAACTTTTCAGATAATTCAAGAGTCAGAAATTTGCTCGAAACATCCCATACTGGATTTAATTTCGTTGTATTTTCAACCATGCTTTTAGTGACGAACATAAATTTCGAGGATGCATGTTCTGCTCAGTTTGGTTTTTGGAAATCACTCCAATTCTGTGGGGAATCTATGATGGCATTCCTAGCCACCCAGCGGTGGAGGCTCGAGAGAGAGCTCTAATGGCAATATGGGGGACGACTGGGTCCTCTGACAGATCGGTGTACGCGTCTATGCCGATGGCATTCTTCTTTACACGTTTACTTATAGAACATGTATTATTAATTCGGATTAAATAAATGTAAAAATGCTATATTAATAAGATAATGTTGTGACTTTATCTGAGATATATAAAACAACCAAAAAGCTTTCGTGATAAATGAAAACTTGAACATTTCTCAGCGCAATAAAAGGAACAACAGAATGAAGGAGAGACAACGCCATAAATGTTAAACCCTTAATATTTACGTGTTATCTCTAATATAAAGATCTAAGGCATCAGTGTTTTTCGTTTCCAAAAGCTGGTGCTTATAAGGTAAGGGACATGATCGGTCACAACTCCCAGACTGCTTATCAAAATCGCAATTAATCTAAATACTAGAAAGGAAGAGGGGTAAATTACTCATGTGGCGTCCTTTGTTTAATTTAGCATGTCTTTGGGGAAAACAACTTTCAACGCATACCATCATTGTCATCGTCGTCGTCAATATGGTTCAGTAGACCGTCGTGATCAGAGTCCTGGGTCCTGTCGAGAAGGCCATCATTATCGATGTCTTCGTCTTCATCATCAGGAATGCCATCACAGTCGTGATCTTCAAATGTGGGCACGAATTTATTTGGCCGTTGGACGACTGGCTTTTGCTTGACAGGTTTGATCGGGACCTTTGGTTTGGGTTGTGGAACCGGGGCCTGGGGTTTGTTCTTTTCGGGCACTGCAGTCTTTTTAACCTGCATATTTTTGGGTTTATCGACAGGTTTTTGTGGCTGCTTCTTAATCGCTGCCGGGACTGATTTTTTCGTTGGTGTTGCGAGTAGGCGTCGCTGTGAGCCTAGGTGTTTAGAGTAAATAACAACGAAAAAGTGAACCAAACAAAAAGAAATTTTACAGTGCATGACACGAGGCAAATTTGTTCCTATACGAAAAATATAACCGTTAAATCTTTTAAAATAGTTGGCAATCTACACTTATCGGACTAGATGTGGCAATTACCTGGTAAATTTGGTGTTTCGCGCAGCTCCGAATCGCAGGCGTCAGGCTCCTATAAGATGACAGAAGATTTAAATTAATCAGTTATTTTTAAGAGGTGGAAATAGTCGGTGAAAACTGTATTCAGTACATACTGCATTACATGCTCACTTTAAAAGTAATGGATCAGAATTTGT